GATGCTAAACTATCCATTCTCAGGAAAAACGAGTCATTCTGAAGAGTTCTCGGAATTTCAGTCAATGCTCAGCAGTGGTTAAAAAGGCGAACATAGTGTTAGGAGTCATTAGAAAAGAAACAGAATAAAACACTACACTAGGATACAAAATTAATGATACAACTCTAATACTGTGCACCTTTCTGGTCACCCCATCTCAAAAAAAAAAAACCAAAAAAAAAACCCAAAACATAGGGGAGATTGAAAAGAACCTCAAGGATAAATCAAAGTTATTGAGAGGATTCTGTTCAAACAGAGATTAAATGTATGAAGAAAGAGATAGCAAAGAAGTACACAATCTAATGGGCAACCTAAAATGTGTGAGATGTGATTATAATTTCTTGTAAGCAAGGAAGAAGGGGCAAAAAAAATAAACTGAGAAACAGGAGGGGTTTGTTTGGTTGGGTGGTTTCTTTGGGTTTTTTTTCAGAATGGGAATGTTATCTCATACAACAAATTGAAACTACAGAGAGCATTCCCACAAAATGTTTTGAATGCCAAAATCAAGATGTGCTAAAGCAGCAATTAGAATAATTAATTGAAACTAAGTCCAGCAAGAGGTATCAGAAGCAATGACATGAGTTCAACCCACAGGCTGCAGGAAGCTGAAACAATATACTACTCTGAATTTGCGCTATTCTTGTATTCTTTCCACAAGCAACAACTACACTCCAGACAGAGGAATACAGGACTAGGGTGGCCCATGTTCTGACTCTATTGCCATGACAGACAGAGTCAAAGTAACCATGGAGGAATTCAAACACAGGCACCTGATAGCAATACACGTAGAAGACCAAATTACATCAAAGTTTTGGGGCCTTGTTCTTTAATGTCTGGGAACATTAAAAGCTATGGCTGTAGTCAAATAAAAATAGGTAAGGCAACATGAAAAACTTAGGTAAGAACCATCACCAACATGCAGATGTCTAACCCTACAGCAAATGTTTGAAAAAATTAGAGAAAGAGGCAGAGAATCAAGAATCAAAATCAAAAGGCAGGAAGACGAGCTAGGAGACAGCAAGTTATAGTATTATGGGAGACAAAGGGATGAAAATATCTCAAAGAGGAAGGACAAATGAGAATAAGCTGATTGTCTAATTAGCAACAGAGGAGTATGAAAGAGAAACGGAGACTCGATTTTCTTCATCTGATACCGCCTCTGGAAAAAGACAAGAGTTGGAAGGAATAAGATAAACACAATACATACAGCTATGATCTTCTCGGAGCATACTGACTGCAAAAGGCAGGCAGGAAGGAGAGGTAAGAACACAAGCATTAGATAAGGTTGGGGAGGAAGGCACATAAAAGAACGTAATGGTGGGAAGCAAAGAATGCTCAGGGCAAGTATCACCAAAGTTAAGAAAAACTGAGGCAGAAGAGGACCTGGGTGTGGAATCTGGATTTGTGCCAGTGGAGAAAGGTATGCAACAGGAAAGGATGCCAGGAGGAATACCTGTAGGGATGTTAGAATAAGAATTGTAACAACAGGGAAATGGAACAAATTGTGTGGGAGAGGGTGGTGCTGTAACACTAATGCAAAAGTGCTGGATGGAGAGGGATTGGCAAGTTTTAAATGCATACAAGTTGAAAGAAAAATAGAGTTCCCCAGTATCTGCAGCGCAAGTCCTTACCAGGTAGGTGGAATCCAACACTTGCAGTGAGAAATGGAGGACAGCAGTCAGTATCACTAGTGATGGCCAGAATTTGCTTCTCCAGAGGGTGCTTATTTATGACCGAGTTCTTAGCACAGGTACATGCACTTAACACTTTTTCCAGCCAACATTTCAGTAATTGAAGCAACCAAGCTTCCGCCCATCATCAGCCCTAATAATGTTTGTTTACTTCCTATTACTGCCTTCTGCACAAATATCATGTGATATTTAACAACCATAGTAACTGGAAATTATTTTCTGCACAGCATTTTAGAAGATGAGTTAACCATAGGGATAAAAATATAAATGTCTGGGATGCATCAACATCAATGGAAGGAACTGATGCTTCTTCAGCTACAAACAAAAGGAGCCAATTTTAATATCTGGCTCCAAAACTAAAACGCTACTAAAATCAGAAGGCAAAAATTGATACATATGAAGTCTTAGCCACAGTCAAGATCTCACTAATTTACTTTACTTTTGTATGTTTAAAAGCTTCTTGTAGAATTGACAGCAGATTAATAAGAAACAAAAACACACAAGCCATTTATTATCTGAACAGGGCCAATCACCAGTGTCCGTTAATTAGTGAAAAATTAATACTCCCAAGTGACATTTCTGAATCCAGAGTAGCTAGAAGACATCTTATGTTACAAAATAAAGTTTCTGAGATGCAGATTTAAATAGGGAATAACATTATCTGTTGTTCTGACCAGTTCAGTCTTCTATCTTGCGTGTCTCTGGATACTTCAGAGTTGCATTTGGTCTGTAAACGATTTAGTCAGAAGCCATGATACACAAATTAATTTTAGGCCATAAGAGTTACGCCATTATGTCTGAACACCAAATTGAAGCAGAACTTGTCTGAAATTCCTTATCCATTTTCATGGCATCATTAACTAAATATTGAATCAATATGTATTTATTCAGAAAAATCCCTTACTGTAATCTGGATCTTTCCTGTGCTCAGATAAGTAGCACAAAACATACTTCAAAATGAAAAACCCCAACCAACCTTATCAGTAGCACAACCAAAAGCAAAGCTATGAAGAGTACAAGAGCTGCCACCTACATAGCAGATCACAAAACCCAAGTCATCTTTTAGACAAAATATTACTGCATTTTATATCAGTGCAGTCTGTAAAGCACAAAAGGGATGAGGAAGAGAAGATAGAATGGGAACACTAACTCTACATAAGAAAATCAGAGAGGAAATAGATTTTAGTATTTCAGTACCTAGTATTCCTGCATTTAGCAGCACCTCTTGCTACATCTATCGTCAGAAAACAGGTTGAAAAGTCACACACTCATAAAGGAGAGCTTCAGAATAAATTGCCAGGCAGTAATTCAACATCTCATGAAAACAATGCCTTGCAATAAGCTGTATTTTCATGCAAAAATAGAAGCCTGTAGAATCACAGAATTGACCAGGTTAGAAGGGACCTTGAAACATCACCTGGTTCAACCTTCCATGGGAAAAAGAGATTATAGATGAGATTATCTAGCACTCTGCCCGATACTATTTGGAAAACCTCCTGCAATGGGGACTCTACCACATCTCTGGGGAGGTTGTTCTAATGAGTGGTTCGTTCTTACTATCAAAAAAAAATACATTTCTTATGTCAAAATTAAACCTCTCCCAGTGCAGCTTGTTCCCATCACCCCTTGTCTTTGCCATGTGGCTCCTGTGGAGAGACCCCCACCCCTCAAGTAAAAACTCCGAAAGCATAAATGTGTAGCTGAACTGCTTTTTGCAATTCATTAATTCACAGACGTGGCTCTTGTAGGGCACAGCCCTGACAATACTGCTTCCAGAAAGGATAGAGAGCAAGGCTTCCCAGCTCAGGGCTCTGAGAGCCGCTCAGCCTCAGGAATTCATCCTGCAACGCAAGCTACGGGAAAGGGAAAGCAGGTGCTACAATGCAGACAAGAAATAAAACACCGGTGGCCACCTGCCAATGATGGCGTTTTTCGCCTGAACTCCCGAAGAAATAAAAAAATCCTGAACATCCTAGATAAGAGATGTAGGTTACAAAACTGCCCATCTGAAGCACACCACGAGTGTTACGATTTTTATTTTTTGAAGAGAATCAGTACAATACACATTTTCTTACTTGCTTTCTACTTTACACTTGTAGGACATAGAGGTAGACACTGAAAACGGACTCTTTAAGGCTAGAAACACTAGCCTCGAAAGCAAAACCTTAACTTCTAACAAGGACTAAAACACCCACCTCCACCGTTTAGGACTTCAAAGAAGATACTAAGGATTTCAAGCACCTCCACTAAAAAAGGAGGAAAGCAGGAGAGAGAAAAAAACAAAAGCTCCTGACCCTGCGCGCGCGCTCCCCTCAGCCGCGCGCTCTCCCCTCAGCCGCGCGCGCTCTCCCCTCAGCCGCGCGCCCTCCCCTCAGCCGCGCGCTCTCCCCTCAGCCGCGCGCTCCCCGCTGCTACCTGCCCCCTCCCCTTCGCGCGGCAGGCGAACCCCACCCATGCCTACTCGAGCATGCGCAATACACCCCTCACCACCCCCCAGCACGAGGCGATCCTCCCACATTTTTTCTTTAAAAAATTAAAATTTAAATAAATTAAAAAAGCAAAACAAAACAAAACAAAAAACAACCCAAACAAAACACCAACAAGCTCTTGTGCGCATGCGCACTCCGCCCCCGCGGCCCCGGGCGGGGCGCGGCCGACCTCGGGTGCCGCGGCCTCGGCTGTCAGGGCGGGTGGGCGTGGCCAGGGGAGAGGGCGGGCGGGATGGGGGCGGAGCCGGCGGGCCGCGGCGGCGGCGGCGGGCGGGGGGGCCGGCGGCGGGCGGCACCGGCAGGGCCCCGGCCATGGATGCCAGCACGCTGGAGCTGGACGCGGTGAAGTTCGCGCAGCTGGCGGTGCAGCGGGACCAGAGCGGGCGCTACCAGGAAGCCGTCTTCTACTACAAGGTACGGGGCGGGGGAAGGGTGGGGGGGCCGGCGGCTGCCGGGTCCCTCAGGGTGCCGGTGTCCCCCTGCCCCCTCGCTGCGAGTCATCCTGAGGCCCGTGAGCTACCGGGAGGTTTGGGCCCCTCCCCTCAGAGGGCCGGGAGGGGTCAGCGCTGTCGCCGCCGCTCCCCGCCCTGAGCGGGCACGGCGCTTGGCCTCGGCGGAGACGTGGCGGATCCGGCCGAGGAGGCGGCGGCAGGCCGGGCGTGCGCGTCGAAAGTTTTTAAGTCTCCGGAGGAGCAGCGTCCTTCAGGGCGCGTTGCGAAATGCCTTTTCCCCGCGCTTTATTTTCAGGTGGGAACAAGTAGCGCTCGTGCGCTGCTGTTGACCGGCGGGTTCGGGGGCGCCGCTGGAGCTGTGGCACCTGAGAAGCGGGGACGGGCGCTTCTTCCAGCTGCTGCGGGCACAGCCCCGGCGGTGCCTCTGGGGAAGCGTCGTTGTTACCTGCCTGAAAACGGCCTGTGCGCCGCTTCCATTGCTGGCCTCTCCCCTACCCCCGCCAGGCCTGAAAGACTACAGTTTTATGTTGGAGACGGAGAACTGCAGGTGGGCATGCTGCAGCCGCCGGAGTATGCAGCTGGAAACAGCTCTGCTGTGTAATTGGTCATCAAATAACTAGAGAAGTACCTGGTGAAATACAAGGTGCTCAGCAGTAAGCTAGCTTCAGACCACAAGCTACCAGGGACATGTTTTTTTATGTGACATGTGAATATTCTTTCTATTTGGGATCCAATTTTATTATGTTGATACAGCTTCAGGCTGGCGTGACCAAGGGTGTGGTGGGGTTGATTCAGTGTCTTGCTCAATATTTATAGACTTCCTACTGGTATTTAGTGGCTTCTGTGCAACCATTATGCATTTTTCACCAGTGTAAATTGTCTCATTTTGTTGGATGTATATTTTACAAAGTTACATTAAACTTTCATATCCCACTAGCTTTACTTCTCACCTGTGAGAAGGGATTTCTTTGAAGCCTATGTTTATCCTCGTTGCAGTAATCATTCCACATACCCTAGTATTCTGCCAAACTAATTCTCTTCCGTTAACTTGCTGAGAGCTCTGTAGCTGGCCTTTTACTTCATGAGTACTAGGTGTCTTTGAAATGTCTAAAAAGCATAGTGTTATTATCGTGCATGGTGGCCTATGCATGTAACTGTGAAGGGATAGGAAGAAGATTATCTTTTTTTAAAACCTGATTGTTCATGTAGGGTAAGATAAATTTTGTATATGTAAAGTATATGCAAAAGTTATAGTTGCTCATAATAATGCTGAGAAGCACAGACCTTATCAGCCTGGAGCGCGTGCGTGGTCTGACAGCTATATGCAGTATCACTTCATTACAGTACATTTCTCAGTATATCTGGAAGAAATGATATAATGTTATTCAGAAGAAAACCATCTTTTCGTACAAACAGTTACTCTTGTACACTTTTGTACAGTGTATGGAAAATCTTTTTCAGTTGCTGCATAGGGGTAATATACTTGCTAAGTGTGAAAATGCATTCCTTGGTGCACTTCAAGCTACGCATGACTAAGTGTAATCTAGACAATGTTTTCTGGTATGCAAAAGCTGGACCCCAGAGAAGCACAATTATGGATACTGATATGTAATAGGAAAGCTCTGAGTGTCAACTGCAGCTAAGATTTTTGGTATTCAGACAGGTGACTCGACAGTCCAAGGTTAGGTATTGACTCTTATGTCAGATTATATGTGAAAGTGTTGGTGTTCAAACCTCTTGTGATCAGGAGGAGTGAGAGCAAACTCAGCAAATATTGTTAAAGCAGAGTTCTTCATGTATGACTTAGATAGGTTTGGCTTTCCAGATCTTGCCTGAAGAATCACTGTCAATATTAGATTAAATAAGAGTAGTTACATCTAGTATTTTGGTGGTACTTTCTGCATTTTTTTGGACAGTGCAAATAAGTTCTGGCCTGTCACCAATTTGCTTATCAACTGCTCTAAGCAGTTCAGAGCCCACTGGTGCAGTTACTAAGCATGTGGGAAAGCTTGGGTGGTGAGCTGAACTCTGAAAGAACTGGACCTTGAGGATTAAGTGTGGGAAATGCTGCAGTTTGTTGCTAATAGGTAACAAATGGACCTGTCTGACTGGAGTTCCTATGGCTAGCAAGTGCTGTTTGCTTCCTAATATTGTGTAACTTTGATGGATCCCTAGAGGCTGCATGTGAACCAGTTTAGGGTAAGTTGCTAAGCTAATGGTGCTCTACAAAAATGTCAGGAACTTATTTGGGCACCTGATGATTTCAGCAAAACTGCTGAAGACTGTTGCTAAGTTTGGCTATTGACCAGCAGTTAGCAACTTGCAAGCTGAGGATCAGTAGTTCGCTTAGTGTGCCTGTGGCACACTACTCATGCCAAAGAACAGTAGTGGTACTGGAGAGGTCATAAATACTAAAACTGAATTGCACGACCATCTTGTCACTGGAAACAGTTGGGAGTGCTGGCTCTGCAGACAGCTGCTCAACTGCTTCAGGCCTTTAGAGGCTTAATTTATAAAATACTGTTTTCATTATGTTTACATCTTAAAACCAGGCAAAACAGTTGCATTTGAAATCACAGAAGCAACATCAGTAATGCATTGGTTTTGCAGCACTGGTTTGAAAATCCACATTTGTTCTTTGCATCATATATAGACAGCTTACCATTCCGATACAGCACCTGTTTTGTCAGTCTGTACTTGTGGTATGTCACAGACAAATATATACATCCTTTGAGCAGATATCTCTAGTGCACTCTTTTTCCCTGTGAAAAATAGCTGTATGCTAGACCTTAACGGTAATTAATTGCTACATATAAATGGAACAGCACTTCTGTTTACCTTTCTATTGCTGTAAACATTTTATGTGATGTAATATGGTGATGGATGTTGACAGGGAGTATGTGGTACTTGGTTCTGTGATGTTTGTCAGTGAAATGTTATCCTGATAACAAGTACAGGCTGTGTCAGGATCAGTTTTAAGCTTGGGCAAACTAGGCAGGTGTGTACCAGAGCAAACTGCTAAGCTTGACAAAAATCATGGCCATAAAGCACCCAAGACAGCCCCTGGCCGTGGCTCTGTGCTTGCCCTGTGCAGAGGAGCCTCTCTGAACAGAATCTTTTGTGGATCAGCTCCCTGGTTCTGTTCTGCTTCCCACATACTTGGCCTGCTGCATGACCACCTCCTCTCTTCTACTGCCACTGGGAAGATGAACACTGCCACAGAAGTGTGTTTTGGTTTTTTTTTTTTTTTTTTCCTTCCATGCCAATACTGAGGACAAAATAAGGTTTTTATCCTCATTTTTGTGAGTAACAAATTTCAATTCTCTGCTTACTCCTGAGACTGTGTCAGCTCTGAGTGTTCATTACAACCCTGCCAAACCCTACATGTTTTTCATAAATTTAGTGAATGGATAGACAGATTATGCAACTGAAAGCATTTTTTCTGAATAGATTTGTGCAGTATGGAAAAAGCCTTAATGCGGATAATGTATTGTGCTTCTGAGCTAGACGCCTACACTCCCTCCTGGAAGTAGACTTTCATCAATATCCAGTGGTTCGTGTAACAAACAAACATTTTAAAAACAAAGTTTGAGGAGCTAGGAAAGTTCAGATTTGTAGACTTTCTGGATTTGGTAGCTTTGTTGGAGTAATACTAAAAGAAAATACTTTCTGAACCAAAGTTCTATGCATTTCATTTTGAAAAGCTTTTATACTGATTTACTTTCATTATTATCAGTTTAAATGCAAATAATTTGAGTGGCTTATTTCTTCCTCCTCTAACCTTAAATCCACAGCTTTAAAAATAAAAGGCAGTTTGTGGCTTGTGAGCTTTACTTAACTGATTCCAGCGCATGCTTGAAAAATCTCCTAATTGTATGCATTACTCTACAGACAGGCCTAAGATCTGGCCTTACAGAACCTTGGAAGGTTTCTTATGGGTTGTCCATGTGTGAGAAATTGAACGTGATCTTATTTATAACTTGAAACTTGTTCTTTCCAGCAGAATTTCCTTGCAGCCACCAAGTCTTTCTGCAGATGTAGACACTTGCTTTCATGCAACTCATGGCAGCTGTAGGCCCTCTTGTTTGTGGAAAGTAATTTTCTAGGCAGCAAACATTAACTATATTAACTTTGTTTCAAATTCTTCTCCCTTCAGGAAGCTGCGCAGGCCTTGATTTATGCTGGAATGGCAGGGTCCAATTTGGAAAATATTCAAGAAAAAATAAATGAGTACTTGGAGAGAGTTCAAGCTCTCCATTCAGCAGGTGGGTAAGAAGCTTTCTAATTGAACCTCTGCTTAAATTAATTGAGTGGAAACCCTTTTGGTGCTGTGAAGTATTTATCAATGATATTTGCTCTTTTTCTTCATTTTAATTTTCTTGTCCTTTGTGAAGGACCGCAAATACAAGGAGCACATCAGTGCTTTGAATTCTCGTATATCAGAAGTGAAGTGGAGACTTAATTTCTGGGGACTTGGGTGTGGGTATACTTTTCTTTTAAATATTCTTAGAGCCACATCTGCAGAGCAAACCTGAGAAAGTAATTAAATACAGCAACAAAAATTGATCAGGAAAAAATCAAGACTCACATCTAAGCCTCATATGCGTGATGGATTTGAAGCAAGTGGGTTCTGATCTATACGTAGAATTACTAACTTTGAGAGACCAAAAGAGCTCTTTGCTTTTATAAGGGTTTCCTTGTTTGATCCAATTTCAGTGTTTGTGCTTAGACCAAAATATCAAATTTTTGCACACCTGCAATTCTCAGTTAGAATTATAGAATCACTTGGGAAAAAGGGACCTTGGGAGGTCTGTAGCCCAATCTCCTGCTCAAAGCAGGGTAGACATTGATTTTTGGACCACATTGCTCCTGTCCTGAAAACACTTAAGAACAGAAATTCCCTGGTGCATCTGGGCCCCTGTTCCAGGGCACAATTGTCTTTCTAGAGATTTTTTTTTTTTTAATATATATCTAGTTGGATTCTCCCCTGTTCCATTTCATAGCCACGGGCTCTCATTCCCTTTCTTTGCACTGCAGTGAAGAACCTGAATCAATTTTCTTCATAACCTCACAGTTACTGGCAGGTTGCTATTAGGTCCCCCCAAAGCCTTCTCTCCTCCTGGCTGGACAAGCCGTGCACCCTCAGCTTCTCAAAAGGTCAAGTCCTTCAGCCCCAGCCATCGTTAGGGACCTGAGATTGGATGTGGTATTCCAGATACAGTCTACTGAGTGCTGAGCAGAGGGTGGTAATTGCTTCTCCCATCTTCTGGCTCCTGCTGACACAGCCCAGGGTGCTGTCAGCCCTCACTCATCGCTGCCAGGGCCCACCCAGCCGTCCCCCAGGGCCCCAGGCCTCGCTCCACAGAGCTGCTCCCTGCAGGGTTAGTCTGTCCTAGGCACAGGGCATAGCATTTGTCCTGGTTGAATTTCCAGAGGTTCCTGTCAGCCTGTTACTTCAGCTTGCCTGTGTCCCTTTGAATAGCGGCTGTATCCTTGAGCGAAGCAGTTTGGTGGGCTCTGCAGCCTCGACGAAGGTGCACTCCATCTTCTCCTTCAGGTCATTAGCAAAGGTATTAAAATGCGAGGGACATCTGAGGAACTTGTATGTTACCATAGGTGATGTGTTTTCACAAATGATGCAATATTTTACATAATTAAACATCCTTATCCTTAGTGTAGTGTGAAAGACATTTTATTTACATTATTTGACATGTGAAGTACCCTGAGAGTGTGTCTCTGCTTCGGCGAGGGGTGGTGGTGGTGTTTTCTTGTCCTTGCAAAGATGTTTTTAGAAAAGTTTAGAAAGATTTGGTTTCCAGCCAAGAAATAGATATTACCTATCTGATTAAAACTGCTAGTGTTTCAGTACCATGTTAAGTGTGTTTTTACATGTCTGCTGCTGTAGAAAGCTAAATCCTTTCTTTTTCATTTAGTTCAGTCACAGAACACAGACCCTCTGAAGTCAAAACAACAGTTGGATTTGGAGCGTGCTCACTTCCTAGTTACACAGGCTTTTGATGAAGATGATAAAGGCAATGCAGAAGAAGCTATAGAGTTGTACACAGAAGCGGTGGAACTCTGTTTGAAAACAGTATGTTAAGCTACAGGTTAACTTGGTGGAATTACGTGATGGTAAGAAATTCTTCCAATTACACAAGTGACTGACCCTTAAAGGCTGGCTTAAAAATGGAGTACCTGTATTTCTCAAAACTTTTTTTTAATATTTTTTTCCCACTTTTTTTTTAATGTTTTTTCTAGTCTTTATGTTATGTCGCTGTTTAACACTGTAAATTTATGGGGACTTATGATTTATGTATTTTTCCTGAACTGGATTATACTAAAAACTAGAAATATTCTGGTTAATTTTTGCCCTGGAGCAAATGCAACACTAAAACAGAAATTAAAAACAGTTAAAACTGAAGATGACTTGCTAATGTGTCAGCTATATTACTTTCTGACTACATTAAAGGAAGTAATTTAAGGGAAATTTTTATGTGTAACACTTTCTGAAAACATAACGGTCTACTGATGCCAAAACTAGTAAAAATACTACTTGATTACTCAGCGCTCAACATTAAAGCTGTTACACGTGAATTCAGTTCACACTGAAATAAATGGTAAGGGTGAATTGGCCATTACATAAATGATGGAGAATATAATTACAGGTACTGCTTTTTTCACTTAAGTCCAGTTGCCTTAACTAACTCATTACAGGAAGAGCTCACCATCATAATGTAACTCCACCAAGTCTGTTTTTCTTTTTCCGTTCTTTCCCTTTCTTTTTTTATAATGTAAATATATGCGGGTTGTTGGGAGGGGAATGCTACTTTTGCTACACGCTAGAGTAAAATCTTATTTTCTCTGAATGTTGTAAACTGGTTTTATGTAGGCTAAAACCCCATGGTGATACATTGTAACCAGATCAAGAGTTAGTAGAACTGCTCTACTTTTTCCACTTGAGCTCTTGAAGCTCATTTTCAGTCTATTACATAAAATTTACTGTGGCAGCATACTGGTTTTCCTCTGCTGTGTTCCTTCTGTTGTGTCAGTTCGTGCAAATATTACTTACATATATTGAAGTTAGTGTGAAATTATCTCATATTAACAACTATTTACTTGGTATTTCATCAGGTACAGATAGTGCTGAAGTTTCTTTTAATCTTGACTAGCATATTATTTTAAGATGACCATAGGCTTTATCCCTCAGGGTGATCAAAAAGTACCACCTTCTTCCCAGGATGAAAGAAGATTGAAGGAACTCTGCTCTCTTGAAGCTTTGCTTCTGTCTTTCTCCTCAGTATATTCAGGTGGAGCGATCTGTTTCTTCCGTACCCTTGAAGTACTCAGAGCAGCCATCCTCCTTTCTATGCATGACTCCTAGATGGATCTGCTGGTGTTCCATCTCCACTGCTTACCTTCATACATTTTTCAAAGTCTTTTCCAACCAGGAACTCCCATGCCGAAGAATTTTAAATATCACTTTTGTTCCATGAACATTCACTAGAACAGCAAATGATATTTGCTTACTTAGTATGCTTTTTATGCTGAGATTTTAAGAAACCATATTTGCTTATTTCAAAGGAGAATTGGAAAAAGTAGCTCGTTACTGTTAGCTGTAAGTGTAGAATTTGACAAACTGAGCCTATAAAACTTGAGGGTTTTTTTGGGATTTGTAGCTTTTTCTTTTATTTTGCACTTAAGGCTACTGAAACTTCAGAAGCTGGCCTCCAGTCAAAACTGAAACAGCTGGCTCGACAAGCACTGGATAGGTGAGTATTGCCAATGTCAGGAAACATACTTGCTGTCAGGGATAAGTGCATTCTCTGAGTTAGATTCTCAATCTATCATGTCTGTTCTGTACAGCAAACAGTATGGATTCTGGGCAGACCTAGCTTCTGTAGACTTCTCCTCAGCTGCCAGCTGCTATACCCCAGAATTAGCAAAGGACTTGTTATATATTTATTAGTACCAATGCACTACTTCAATTTTCAGAAATATACGTCAGAGTATTCTACTACAATTTTTGGCTTCTGTAAAAGTGCCAAATTCAGGCCAGCATGAAGTCAGGGTGTCAGCGTCTTTTCATAAGGAAAACAGTTTGGAAACTGGGAAATACTTATCTTGATAGTAGCAGTCTGTATGGGTGGATCTAGTGGAGTAGTCAATACCTGAAAAAAGTTACGTGAGTGCAAGTTCAATGTACCTCTTTACATCAGCTATGTAATGGCAAATAATGAACTATGTTGGGCTAAGTTTCAGGATATAAGCTATTTTTGAGCACTTCTCAGTCTGTGTTCAAAACCCCCTGTATTTTGCATGTGTAACTAGCCAGCAGTGTAGTGCAACAACAACAAAATATGACTCCTGAATACAGAGTCTTCAAGCAGTTGATACACTGGGTTGTGAGAATGCTAATGGGTTTTTACTGCTATTGTAGCTGCTTCAAAACCTGAAGGTATGAGAGGATGCAAATTGGTTTTCTCTCTGTGTTTCAGTGGTCTTGCTCTGAGGTTCCAGATAATGAACACTTACACAAATTCTCCTATTAGCATAACTTAAAGGCAACAAAAATCTAATGAGTTCGTATTTTAATTGATTCTGGAATGGAAAAATAAAAAAGTGCTGGCATCAGAGGTTGATTTTCCTTAGGAAAAGTGGTATTGGTCAACTTGGGCATTTGTTCATTCCATCTAACCTATGTAGGAATGTGAACTAAGCAAATAAAAAGTTGAACCATAACTATATTTTTATCATTGTCGTAAACAAAATGCATTTTTATTTGTTGTAGAGCAGAGGCGCTGAAGGAATCTGCGTCAAAGGCATCTCAGAAGGAGAAGTCAACTGCGGCTAAACCAAATCAGCCAGTGAGGACATTCTTTCCATTGGGACCTGATTTTTCTTTAAATGATAAACCACAGACAATCAGAGCAGTACAAGCTAGTGAACCTCAAGGTCAGAGATACACTGCAGAGGAGATTGAAGTACTCAGGTAAGTTGAAGACAAGTTTTTCCAATATATTATTATTTGTGCTGACATCCTTTGTGCATCTTGCACAGTAGATTGAAACAGCTGAAGCATGAGGTGTATAAACAGAGGTTGGAAAACCATCTCTTACAAACCCCATTGCTGGTATTACCTACACATTAATAAATTCTTGTAATCTTTACAGTAATGTAATTAATGGCTTTTATTCACAGAGCATACTTCCTAGAGTGTATTTAGAAGACAATTTCTTGTAACTGACCGCCAGGATTATTTTTCATAGCCTTATTTTTGTATGTTACACATAACCTACCTGACTGAGTTCACGAAAGATCTGTGTCTGAGATGCCAAGGTACAAAGATGTTTTTATAGATTATACAACTACTACTTCATTGGAAAATGAGGATCCATAGTAATTTGTAGGACTGTGACTTCTGTTACATCCAGTTCCTTTTGCTTTGATTTTTATTTTATATTTATTATATTTGATTTTATTTTTATTATAGGTGGAATAAGCTACAAATAATCTATAAAACCTTTAGCCTAAATCATGAATTCTGAAAACTATCAAGTAGATCTTAAAAAAAAAAAAAGCATTGTCTGATATGTATGTCAACCTTCCTCCTCCTTCCCATGCAATAAAAAAGATTGTGACAGAGGTGATACTCAACACTGTCCAGGATTTGATCATAGAATGTTTAGTCTTCTTGTTGACTATAGGGGACTTACATGGACTGAGTATACAGTCATGAAGTTAAACCCATATATGTGTTTGAAAAGTTGCAGAGCATTAAGAATAGCCTTATTAAAATTTCACTTTCTTTCTTCTTGTAGTGCCTGTGTAGTGAATGTTTCTGGTTTTGTAGATGGTTTGGGTGGTTTTTGGTTTTGTTTCTTTTGTGCTTGTTTTTTTTTCTTTTTGTTTGTTTAAGTCTTGCAAGAGAACTTCAAGTTGTTTCACATCTTTAATCATCATTTGATTTAAAAATAGTTTGCATACCTTTTTCAGTTAACTCCTTGTCTAAAACTTAAATTACATTCACATGTAAATACGATTCTCATTTTTTAGAAAGTGTTCCGTGCGCTTCAGTCAAAAATGTACTAACAAATGTGCAGTATTTTTATTATTGTTGTTTGACAAAGTTCCAAAATATTCCCCAATTAGATGAAATCTAAGTGTTGCCAATTGTTAATTTCTGTCAACTTGTTCTAAGACTATCTAATGAGAGGCTTAAGGGACTTCAGAAATTTTAAATGTGACTTCTAGAACTATGAAGAGGTTTGTGGCTGATAATCATTTCTGTCCTGGCATGGTGACTTGTCCGCAGGTATGTACTTGCAGGATTAGTGACTGAGACAAATACCGCACATTTCAAGCCCAAATAAATACAGTGGTTGTTTCATTTTCAGGAGGTAGGTCGTGTTTTCAAAAGCACTGTGTCTTGTTAGTTTTTAAAAAGTAACTTTGTTGCATTCTGGAACTTAGTCTTTGAAAGATGATACAGGTGTGTAACTATTTTTTTTTTTTTTTTTTTTTCTTATGACTTGCAGGAAGACTTCAAAAATTAATGGCATAGAATATGTACCTTTCATGAGTGTCGATCTGAGGGAACGTTTTGCATTCCCTATGCCATTTTCGTAAGTGTGATTCAATTACTGAACTTTTGTTTTTACTTCCAAAGCTTTCTAATATTTGCTATTTCTAGATTCTCTTTTTCAGAATTTATAATTGTTTAAGTAGTCTTTTGAGCGTAATTCCAGCAGAGATATTTAAATACGACCACTTCTTTCTTCCAGTCTGATCTTAAAACTGTTTAATGTAAGCTGATCCTGCTCTGCAGCTCTGCAGTGCTCTTGCATTTATGCCTTCAGGCCTGTAAGGACCCACACTATATTTGGCTTTTTGGAGTATGGGGCTGGGCTGGCAACTTGGGTCCATCTCCTGATTCTGCGGCACGCTAATGAGGTTAGCTCCCACTGCCTCAGTTATCTGTAAAGTGAAGGTGATAGCTCTTTCCTCTGTAAAGGACTATTCCAGGGAAGCGTGATATGTAACTGCTAGACCTTCATTCATAAACAATAATAATACGTTAAGTTTTCGTGGGGTTAGTTGTTTGGTTTTTTTTTTTTTTTTCAATTTTCTGCTGAAGGTTTGTCAATCAGACAAGCCTCAATATTTTCAGAACTAAGGAAACTTTCTATTATTAGTTCATCATATTGAAATAAAGCGAAGAATTTGAGTTTCTGATGATGTAGGGGGCTTTTTGGAATTTTCTTCACTTCAGTCCTGTATGAAGAATGCTCTTCAGCTCTGTTCCATGTTTTTAATATTTTGGCTCTTTTTTTCCCTAAAAATCACAAACTTAGCAGTAGTGATCTCTGTATACAGAGCTGTAAAACAATTTCAAAGCTGTGTAATTGTTCTGTGCATATTTTGCACCATCTATTAGATATATCTAAGACTGGGCATACCATGAAAAGCTTTTCTAAACTGCTATTGATTTATTTCTACTTTCTTCTCTCTTAAATCTAGTGATAAATGTGGGAAGTTACCATTATCCCCCAAACAGAAAGCAATGTTTGCCAAGTGGGTGAGACCAGATGACATAACAAATAACCCTACGATGATTTACACTGTATCAAGTTTCAGCATAAAGCAGGTAAATTGTTCCTGAAGAGAAGCCTGTGCTGTTAGCCGTTCATTGCAGGGGAGATAAAACTTTCTTGTTCAAAAAGGAATCCCCAAATGTGAGAGTGCTTTCCTTGGCTCTCATGAGATTAAATAAATAAACAGTATTGCTTCAGATTCCATGCAGAGTAAACAGGTGTATTAGCAGTGGAAGTGAAAATCAGAATTTAAATTTCAGCTGAAAATCCTGTTTTCCAGAAATAGTGGTAAGGTTAGTATGAAATAAGACAAGGTGTAATCTGCAGCAAAGACTTTACATTTTTAAAAATTTTTTTAATTTGTATTTGACAGGAGGCAGAGTGGCCCACTGAGAATAGTTGAAATGTCTTGTTTAGTTGCAGGTGGCCCAAGCTATTCTGAAATTGGCAATAGATTATGCCGTTGAATATGGTTTATATTACACAGCATCTTTTGGGGGGGAGGGAGTAAATGTGAGTGAATGCTGAAGTATTTGCACTTGCCTCTGATTGTCAGTAATAATTCTAACTCCAGTTTGCTCTATCAGGGCCTCACATTGAGCAAACATACATTTCCTGCCACTTCCGTAGTAACTTTGCTCCTCTTGGTTCAAATCCTTTTGAATCCCTTTTGAAATGTATTACTAACTGACGATTTTCCTTCCCTCCACACACCCTGTTTGTCTTTGAGTATCTAAGTTATTAGTAAGTGTCCTCTGTTTTTCCTTATAGACAATAGTGTCAGATTGTTCTTTTGTGGCATCACTTGCTATCAGTGCAGCATATGAAAGAAGATATAACAAAAAATTGATCACAAGGTCAGTAGCTGTTGCTTTCTAACATTTTTTCAGACTTAATACTGCCAAGCTTTGGCAATATGTTCTATGGCAATTAGATATAGTAAAAACTAGCATTTGTTTCACGTTCATCTCCCTGGGGCTTATGTGACTTTAGCACTTCTGAGAGGGAAGCAAGCTTTATATAGATGTTTATACAGACACTGGAGTCTAACTTTACACGTGCTTTGAGGAGGAATAAGTAATTTGGAAGGTTTTGTTTGGTTTTTAATGGAGATTTTACTTATAATGCTTTATAAGTTTATTTTCCTACTTTTCTCTGCCAACTGCTGTGCAACAGGCAGTCCATCTTTCATCTCATTGCAGCATTAATGTTAACAACACTATCTCGGTTCCAGTTGACTGGCACCTGTGATAAATTTGGCAAGGATTTGGTAGACTCCGCTGGGAGCTTGTTGTCAGACCAGTGTGTGAACGTTTTTGTTTTAACCTGTACTCATTAGAACTGAACTTGTATTCTTTTCAAGAGCAGTGAGTTCTGCACTGTCTTCTCCTTCAAATATTTGATTTGTTATTCAGGCAAACACTGTTTTTCTATACAGTTATGTAAATACCATTTGTTTAATAGTAAGGTAAATTTGTTTGCTTTGCTTCTGTTGGAGAAACAATTAGGTTCCTTGTGTTATTTTTTTTTACTATATTAAACAAAGAATTGCAGCAAGAACCAGGCCTGAAAAATAAAACCTATTTAAACACCACTATCATTTTTACTAAATCTGAATTGCTCTTTATTTTAAAATTACATATTTATTTTCAGTGTAAATTTCCAGAAATATACCGTGTTAATCCCACATTTATTGTTATCAGTGTATGTACAGCCAAGTCATTTATATCACAATTTCATCTGTTTTTGTTTTTTTCTTAACAGTATAATTTACCCTCAGAATAAGAAAGGAGAACCAGAATATAATCCATGTGGCAAATACATGGTGAAGCTTCATATCAATGGTGTACCTAGAAAGGTAAATTGTTTCGGGGAGACTTAATACTGTTACTGTTTAAGTCATATATTTTAAAAGCTTGGTCTGCTTCACTGAAGCTCTGCTTGCATAGCAAAAACTTTAGGTACATTTTGTTGGAAGTTCATTTTTAATTGTTAAATCTTTTGAGATTCATTTTGGTTGTGAAGTATGTAAAAGAATATAGGTATTTCTTCTATGGGCATTCATGAGAATAGCCTTACATTAAATACATAAAAAAATCTTTCTATTGATTAAAAGAATTATGAAAACTATGCAGAAACAAAATTATGCATCCCATATTTATCAGTAAGGGGTGCAAGTAATGCACTTTCCACTCCATCTTAGAATGGAAGTTACAGAACTAAAAAGTAGAGAGGGATGTCCCAGAAGAGTACAGACATGGAATGACCATAGAGGAATAACTCAAATGACCACAAATTTTTAGGAGGGTGAGGAGGTGCCTGAAGATACATGATAGAACTTTGTAAACTCAAACAGCTTCATTTTCTTTTCAGTGCAATGAGTAAGGGCATAAAATAATGTATTTCTTCGTATACTACTTATCTACAATAATCGGTGCTACAGTTCATAGTGACTGATGAATGTTTATGGGAGTTCAGAAGTTGAGTGATCATATTCACGGAGCGGGGGAGTAAGGGGAAAGTCCTCAAAGGCTGTTAATTGCTAACATATAACCTCTGGGTCAGAAAGTCTTCGGGTTGCAAAATTCCAGAATCTGAATGAGTGTTTCAGGGAGGTATCATTTATGTGCTTGCCTTGCTCTTAATACTCTTGCCAAAATATCTCCTAATGGTTGCCTTTTGTTAGTTGCCATTTGCTCTTCAATGAAAAGGAGTATTCATTCCTGCACAGGCAGGATTTAACCAGAAAACCTGCTGTCTTGGTAGCCTGTGTTGGTAACGGACTAATGTCAACGTGAAACTGAAACATCTGTTCTGGGAAACTGTTTCAGACCACTGCAAATACTGCAGTAACAATCTGTAATAATGCCAAATATATTCTAGCTAACTTAAAGAAGAAATGTTATTACTTTCACAACTGCTGCTTTGGGTTGTTTTTCCCTTCCAGTGAGAAGAAATAGAATTCTGAAGTAGAGACTGTGATAGTGGTGTGGCACATAGTTTATTTCCTTATAGATAAATAACTGTTTATTTTTCTGCTGGCTACAAAGTACAGTGCGTACTCTGTTTCCTAATTAGGTGAGGGATATTGTTAGGTTTTTTCTCCTTTTCCTAACACTGGTAATTACACTGAACTTTTCTGTGGCTACCCTTTTCCATTACATGCCATCATCCGCATTTTACATAGGGGAAGGCAAGGCAGGTGATCACAGGTCACCCAGTGGACCAGTGCAAATAAGAACTGGCAACAGAATTTCTTGTTCACTTGGACAAACCACTGCAGGAGTGACAGAGGTGTCCACATTTGAGAGCGATGGTCACATCTGGCTGGCTGAGAAGCTGTATATTAATGAGAGTTTGGTTTTATTTTTTAAATACTTCAAAAATACTTTATTAGCTTTATGATGATTTTTTTCATTTGTTTATTCCACACAGGTAATCATAGATGACCAGTTACCTGTTGATCATAGTGGCGAACTTCTTTGCTCTTATTCTAACAATAAGAATGAATTATGGGTATCACTAATAGAAAAAGCTTACATGAAGGTCATGGGAGGATATGATTTTCCTGGATCAAATTCTGTAAGTATTAGATTATTTCTAAGAGGCAAAAATTCCACTTAGATAATCTGAGGTCAAACTGCTTTCCTTCTAGTGAAAGAAATTAATTGCTTGGGAAGGCAAGAATCGTATTTGATATTTTCTTAATCTGTCTGTTTTTCTATCTGTCATCTGTCTTTCACGAAAATGTTTAGCTGCACTTCATGAGATTTATTCCATCAAAATAGAACAAGCAAGACATTTTGATGGGCAGAGTTAATCTTAGTTCTCTGACTACAGAATTGGCACTTATGGTTGGGAAGTGTGTATGTAGATGAAGGTGTTGGGTAAAGTCATAATTTTTTTGCCCTTATCAATACTGCCAATTTTGGTTTCTAACTGTTGTTCAATAAATAGGGCAGTTCTCCCTCATTAGGTAGGGGAGTCAGCTAGGAAAGGAACAGGCTAGTCATTTAGTATGTCTGTAGGGGGAGCAAGTACTTTGATCTGTGAAAGTTTGCTTATCAGATTGTTCCACTCATTTATGTAAATGCGTATTGGGTTCCTATAATGTGGTTACTAAAGAAACAGTCATTGTACTGCATGTAAACTGACATGCAAATTATTCTTTCAGAGGGACAGTTTCCTGAAATGAGTAGACCCCATAATTTTCATTCATTACTTAAGCAGCATTTCTTTAAAATTTTAACAGTACTTTTTTTTATTTCGTGGTGCTGTTTACATTCTAGTTGGTGTCTTGATAATCGCATTCTTGGAGGGTATACTAGGTAATGATCACATTTTGAAAAATTATTATGGAAACAAATGTGGCTTTGTATAAGGGGTAAATGTAGCATACGTTTTTATGTATGTTTATGTCAGTGTTGGGCTGCTTTGTTTTGGAGGACAAGATGGTGAGAATAACTGTATTTTATTCCCAGTCGTTCTCTGACTTGCTGTCTGGGAAACCAGCTTGACTTGTGACATTTAATCTCCACCCTTTCCACCCCCTCTGCTTTCGACTGTATTACAGCTTCCTTCTATAATCAGGGTTACTTCCTGGTTGTGTTGTACTTTTAATTCCTCAAGTTCCCACCCACCAGTGGGTGGTTATTGACACTTCAAGCACTTATAGTCCCTGCTTTTGTTTTGAGGAGTACAAAGCAAAGGAAAAGGGAATAAGCAGTATTTCAAGGAGATGAAATGGGGAGATTAAAGCATATTTTTATGGAAATACATGTCAGTGTCAGCTTTACCAAGAAGAATAAAAACCCCTGAGCTTTAGAAGTAAAATTTAAATTATTTAAAATGCATGTATAATAGCAAGGTTCCAAATAGTGATTCTGAGATTGTGCTTTAAAAGTCTGTGAATCAACAAAATAAATAGAACACATTGTAGAATTGAGCACAATTGATCATTCTCTTCTGCTTCCATTGCTCTGAAATTCCAGTTTGTTTCATCAGTTTACTTTCCAGCCTTTTTTACCTTTTTATTTTTCTTTGAGGCTATTTGGAAATGTTGTCCTGAACTAATCAAATAAGTTTTTGTTTGTTTTAATACTTAATAGTCTTAATTTTGAGCCTTTTATGTGTAGAGCTATATTGTAACTTGTTTATACTTGATTTCTTTCAAAGCACTTTTATAATTTGTGTACAGGCATCGTCTTTATAGATGGATTATTTATTCTGATTTCTTTTGAATGCTTGCATTTCAGAATATCGATCTCCATGCACTGACTGGTTGGATACCTGAAAGAATTGCTATGCACTCTGACAATCAAGCTTTCAATAAAGATAGTACTTTCAGAATGCTGTATCAGAGGTAGAAGGTTGTTCTTTCCTAAGTAATTAAAATGCTTGCTGTGTAGTAGCTGTGTTACCGCTGTAAAACCAGTACAGTCACCACAAATCCTTCGATAGCATTTTGATACTACTACATATTGTGCTTGAAAAAACCTCCACATGCTTTCTGGAGGAAGAAATGCTGAGGTCTTGGTGGCTTTGATAAGACAGAAGAGGAAAATATTGTGGAATTGTGTCTGAAGTAATATTTCTTCTTTAGGTATGAAGGAAAAAAACCCAGCCCATTTCTTGATGAAGAAAATAGAATATACAGTCAGAGGAGAGCAGCTTGGAATCAATATACAAGTTAAAAGTGTTTAAAAATAGAAGGAAATGTGTTTTGTGTTCCCATACAGTCCACCAGAACTTTGGCATTGATCTGCTGTCCTTAGCAAGCAGATATAACATAGTATTTCTAATTGTATCACAAGATCTTGGATATTATACCCCATTAGTAAATCTTCTGGAGGAGCAGCAGAAGTCTATCAAAACTGCAATAGTCTGAACTGATCTCCAGACCTATCATAACAATTTTACTTAGGGTGAAAGATATACATGTAGTTTATAAATGTCAGCTCTCAAGTACCTTGATTTCTTTTAAAATGGTTTTATGCAACCAGTTTCTTACACAGTTCAGTGCAGAAGGGGGATATTCTGTTGACTGAAACATCTGCATTCATGATAAAAGAGCATGACTTTACAGTGCTTTTGCAGTTGGTTAGGAGCTCTCAGTTGATTGCCAACAACTTTTCAGATATTCTGCCATTGCAGTTTGGAGGTGTGACTGCAATAGGATGGAAACTAGCCATTATAGCATCACTGTTGTTCACATGTGCTAAACGGAAAATATGTCAATCTGTTGTCCAGTGACCCTGTAAACTAGGGATGCTGAGAGTGTATTTGGATTTTAGCACTGACTGGGAAACATGCTAGTGTGTTTTCACAACAATAATTATGAGGAACTTAACAATTTCAATTCGGCTCAATTCCAGAACTCGCATGTGAGTTAACAATTCAGACCCCGTAAGGCGTATGCTAGGGGACACAAGACTTCAGTGTAAGCACCTGCAAAAGTATAGAAGCATGAACTTCTCATTCTTCAGGTTTTGGGAAGCTCCTTCAGGATCCTAGGGATGTGACAGAATTGTTGATTTGCTATATGCAGTGAGTGGAGAAGTGTTGATGAAACCACATTTGTGTTCAGCTGAAGATCTGAGAAGAGTATCTTTAAAAAGTGACACAGATTGAACATCAGGTTGATAAATGCTGATTTTTATTTATAAAAAATATGAAATTATATGGGAATAATATTTTTTTACTTAGAGCCTATACTTAAATACTGAAAGAAAATAGTTCTACTTTCTCAAGCTTTTTCAGGAGTGATTTGTGCTCACAAAAAACCCTTGCATTCTAATTTTTATAAAGCAGGGTCAGTTATCAGGCAGCTAATGGACAGTGTGAAAACATAATATTACAGAGTCTGGGAATTGTTATTTTGCAACTTGCAACATTTTAATTAAGCTTATTTTTCTCGTCTTTTTGAACAGATTTCACAAGGGAGATGTCCTTATCACAACAGCAACAGGGGTGATGTCTGAAGAGGAAGGAGAAAAATGGGGTTTAGTTCCAACCCATGCGTATGCAGTCTTGGATATAAGAGAATATAAGGTATCAAGGAAAACTGAATATGTTTTCAGGTGCCTGCTTGAAGCCTGTCTGATTGGTAGCTACTGATTTTTTTTTTTTTTTTTTTTTTTTTTTTCCTCTACTGGCTAATGTAGTTTATTTTGTCTTGAGTTTCATTGAGAAATCCCAGAAAGCTTAATGATGCTGTTGGGGTTTTTTTGAGCTATTGATTCATATTCCATATTAGTATAAATATAAAAATTACATTGACAAGATGAATCCTGCAATTTGATTTTCTTTAGGGACTTCGATTTCTTCAGTTGAAAAACCCCTGGAGCCACTTACGTTGGAAGGGACGATACAGTGAAAATGACACAAGAAATTGGACCCCAGATTTACAAAAATACTTGAACTTTGATCCAAGAACAGCTCAGAAAATAGACAATGGTAATAAGGTTTCAAATGTCACTATATTTTCAGATAATATAGATCTTTGTGATATATCTCTGAAGAAAGGTGGAAGGAAATGCTTAAGCACAAGGGAGAGGGAGAGTAAAATAAATACTAGAAACTAAACAGCCTAAAAATTTAGGAAATGTTTGTCTACTCAAATCTGCCATTTCAGGTTTGCCTGGGGTTTAAGTAATATGGACTGTTTAATATTTCTTAAATTCATTGACAGGAAATTACCTCCTCGCCTCAGTGTTGCTATCTCAGTATCTGGGTGTGGGGGACTTCAGTGCAAAGCTAACATTCTGACAGTAAGCTGTGTAATGCTGCTTTTTAATACGCAATTAGACTTTTTGTGGGTTTTTTCTGCCATGATTTGCAAATATGTATCAACATGCTTACTCTAATCAGTATTTAAATTAGTCTTGCCTGTATTTGAGGTTATGCACTGGAGTTAAGTGGGGTTTTTTCCCTTGTACTACATTAATATATCTATAAACAAATCTTTTCATACCCTCTGTTTCTGGCTGTAAGAGTAGGTTGAGATCTCTCTTTGAGACAGTGCTCCTACTACGTCATTGTCCAGAGAAACCACTTGGAATGATGCCCAGTGTTCTCCTGTCCCACCTTCCCTAGGGATCAGCAGAGTGTAGGATTTGGAAAGTCAGTGCGGGTTTGCTAGCAGAAGGGCAGGTTGCTGACAGGTTAGAAACTCTGCAGAAGCTGTGTCTTACATTCAGAAAGAAATGTTTGCTCTTTTTATAGCATCCTAGTTGCTGTCTGTGGATCTCTGTGAGGGAGCCTTTTTGTTCAGTGACACTCTATTTTGACAGCAGCATGCATCCAAACCCATTAAATTATGGTATTTATTGATATGCCTCATGCAAATGCATAAGGAAGACTTTTGATTTAAATATAAGTATAGCAGCCCTGGCTGTGACAGTTAGGAGAGATAAGCTCATTATTTATTTACCTGTTCATTTAGTAAGGAATTTATATCTGTAACATCTAGTAGTTAAGGTTTATGTAAAATCACATTAGCAGTTTTAAGGGAGTTGTTTCTTCTGACTGGATTTACACTCTGATTCTTGTCTAATAGCTAGTTGTTGTCTAGTAGCTAGTGTGTAGCTATTATGACTGCTTTTTTGCCTTTTTTTTTTTAAGTGCTGTAAGATCTGCAACTGCCGACATCAGAGACTTGAATTATAAGACTGTTACCTTTTGAGAGTTCATTTCATCAGGAATCTGCCAGCTTGCAGGCATTGTTGTTGGCTAGAGTTGCAATTAAAGGAGCTATGGAGAATTAGAATAAATGCATGAGAATATTGTAAAGACGAAGCAGAGTCAGGGCACCAAAAGCAAGTGACGCAGGTGTTGGATGAAGTATCTTAGAAAACCATTCAAATGTACTCACATGCTGATTGAATACTTGATTGTTCTGGATGATTACTGAAGTAGGTTGTTGAATTGAGGACTGTTTTTTCAGATACCTAGGAAAGGGGAATGCGGGTCAGAATCACCTAATGACGTCTCAGTACAACGAATTTTCTCATCCCTTCTGCTTAGTGCTTGAGAATTAGAAGTGTTCTGACAGCTTCAGAAGGTCCTTGATGATGAGCAGACACTAACTTGTTTTTCTTGGTTTCACTTGTTTGTTTTGGGATTTAAGTTTAAACGTAGATATTTGGGCAATGCAGACATTACTACTGTTTTACAGAAATGTTGGGTAATATAAGCTGTATCATTCGCCTGGAAAGAGCCTTTTGAAAAACAAGTAACATCAAGGTGTCTGATAAGAAAAGAATAACAGCATTTCCTTTTTAGGCATTTTCTGGATTGCCTGGGAGGATCTGTGCCAGTACTATGACGTTATTTATTTGAGTTGGAACCCAAGTCTTTTTAAAGAGTCTACGTGTATTCACAGGTTGGTCCAAGAGCTAAAACTTTTGAGTTGATACCTCACTAAATGTTCTGATGTGGTGTTTCCTTCCTTCTATTCTTCCTAGTTACAAAGATTGAACTACAACTGTTCTCTTGAGCCTGACTTTGCACTGTTAAATTCTCAGCCCAAGCTTTGTTTTTGACTCCTTCTGTAACATCGTTGAAACTCCAGTGACCTTTGTGATGCTGCTGTGGATCTAGGGTTGAGATTTTGATCTCATTCCCACATCTCTCTATTGGAATAGAAATCAGATTGTTGTGCAGTCTGTATTTAAGCAGTGACCAGACAGTGCTTGAGTGACCTAGTTTTTATTTGGAGTTCATTTTCCTGGCCAGTTGCAAGTCATTTATGCAGTATGTGTTGTCTTTACAGTGTGTGTTCACTGATGTCAGACTAGTTTAACTAATTCTGGTTTTAATCAGTTGTAGTTATCATAAGTAATCTTAGTTGGCTGCTGATTTTTTCTGAACATGATACCTGTCTCCTACCTAGTACCCATCACGTTCAGTCTTTTTGTCATCCAGTTTGAGTGTGTGTGTGTCTCGGTTTTGGAAAACAAGGGTTTCTCTGTTTTTCCACTCCACTATATTGCCCTTTGCAGTTTCTTCCACACTGTTTCTGCATATGTTAGCTCTGCACAAGCTCCTTCATCCATATTGCAATTGCTGAGCTTATCTGTAAAAGCTCCTTCCATCTTTGTGTTCAAAGTAATTCTAAAATACACTGTGGTGATGTAGCAAGATGAAGCAATGTGTATGCTAATCTCAAAGCTCATTAATGCCTAGCACAGTGGCAATTGCCATAAAAAGTGGAGTAATGATGGTTATAATTTGAAGCTTAGTTGATAACACAGTCTTCCACATGTGCTGTTCGGTTCAATGGGACTTAGCAATGGCTTTATCCACTTCTGTTTCCAGCGTGGCACACTTTGCATTCAATCATCAGCACTTCTTATTTTTTCACACTGTATTTTCTTTCTCTGACAGGTCATGAGGCAACAGGCAGATTTTGCAATAGGATACCTCAAGGATCTTTAACATTTCTTGCAGGCACCCTTCCAAACATGAAACAGATCAGATTTAAAAATAAAATTTACCTCAGTAAAAAACTAGAGTAAAATTATTTAGCAGCTTTTGAAACCAACCACAGCTTATACATTGATTTCTATAGTTACAAAAGTATAGGTGTATTTCACTTGCTGTAGGTGTATAGGTAGCCCAGGTTCCTTGAATGGGCCATCTTTTTCTGTGCTCCGTATGGTTACAGTCACCATAAAAAAAAGCCATGCTGTTTGTATGTAGCATATTTTATTATCACACTTGTCGTGAAATGCTTTTATAAAAAAAAATTGTAAGATAATGCTTCTGATGTAATTGTATTATGTAACCAGTATCACAGATTCCAGTAGAAAATCAGCCTTCAGTAACTTTGTCTCTGATAACAGACAGCTCTGTATGGATGTAGGATTTGGGGTTAGTTTTCAAAGCATGAATTAGTACCTTACTCGTCTAATAATGTGTCTGTATTACTTGTAGTACCTGGGATGCAAAGCAAGGCCCGGTGAAGGATGCCTACAGCCTGGCAAACAACCCTCAGTACAAGCTGGAGGTCCAGTGTCCCCAGGGCGGCGCTGCCGTCTGGGTTCTGCTCAGCAGGCACATCACAGATAAGGTGCTGGGTCCTTCTTCTGTATTACAAGTTCTGCAGCATCTTCCCAAAGTCTTTCTGTATAGCTTCTGGTTATTAGCATATTACTGCTTGTGTTTTCATGTTCAGGTACATATGCCTGTGTATATGTATACATTTTGAACTCAGCAGGTAAACAAACAAGATTGTTGCAATAGACCCAGAGTAAAAATTGAGCTAAGTGATAATATTCCACTGGAAAGGTTCTGAAGTAACTTTTGAATCCCAGGGCCTGAACTGTTATAAGTTAAATTAGTGGCAGTTTATTGACTTCACGTATTTTAAAAATAATTGGATTGGGTATCTCAATAAAGACGACTACCAGATCATACGGTGTGGTGGTCAAAGGGAATGATAGAATGTGTACTTGATTCTGATTAAGCATTAGTTACGTTCCACAGAAGTGTACAATTCTACTTGATCTGTGTTTCTTATAGGATGACTTTGCACACAATCGGGAGTTCATTACAATGGTTGTATACAAGACTGATGGCAAAAAAGTTTACTATCCAGGTTAGTGTGCAGTAATTGTCAAGAAGATTATGTTGGAAATAAATGAAGAATTGCAAAGGATTTTGTGGAGAGGAAAGGCACTTCCTGCTTTAAAACTAGATGCCTCACTCTGAGGTCAGTCTTCTGAAAGAGTCATTTAGCTCTGTTTGACCACCTTCAGCGGTTTACACTGAAGGAATAAACCAAGCTGTACGGGTTGGAAGCAAGCCAAGAGGTCTGCACGGTCCTGCTGACACTTACTTTGTCACAGCATTTTCTTTATTGTTCTGTTTATTTTGCAGTGGCAGTAGTTAATGCTTAGAGGGAACAGATTTTGCATAATTATTTCCCACATTTGTCAAAGTATTTCAATGTTTATGGCTTCCACTAAATGAAAATAATCAAGGTTAATTGTTCTGTGAACTTGGCTGTGTAGAGTACCTAAGCAAGCTCATGAGATGCAGCTGAACATGTCAGCATATTCCAAAGTATCAGGTATTGAATGTTTAGGAAAAATATTTAGATGTTCAAATTTTATCAAAGTATTACTCTTGGTCATTATAGCTCAGATTCTACTCACCTTGAAGCAGAAAGGGCTTGACTTTTGGAGCTTTGTTGTGGCTGTGAAAAAGCCATTTATGTTTTATTTCAAGACAGATAGGAGATCTGAAACACAGGTTGAGACACAGGAAGTAAAGGTAATGCCCAAGTTGAATGGATAGAGTAGTCTGCAACTTTAAGGTAGAGCTAATAATATCATATTTTTATTTATTCTGTACATTGAGTTAGAGATCTCTGTAAAAATACTACTTGGAATAATTCAGTGAAGGTGCTTCCTAAAACAGGTAGGATTTGGTCGGTTGCTTTTACATATGGGGAACTTCTTTAGAACCAGGGTTGCATTCAGGTACCTGCTCATGCAACGGGTAATAGCAACAGTTAATTAGAGAGTAGCTTTTAAAGCTTTTTTCATCAAAGAGTGGAATTTGTGGATTTTTTTCCTACTGGAATGGCTGGTAAGGATTTGCATTGTTCATCTTTGGTCTTGTTTAGTGAACTCTGCCAACCACTTCCCCTAGAATCCAAACTGTCTTTCCGCAGAAAGCGTCTGTTGAGGCCTGACCAAATCATCATCTGGTTTTGTAAGAGCTGATCTGGTTAAAGCATCTGCTTCTCCTTACAGCCTAAGACTTCCTTCTGGTGTCGCTAGTACTTGTAGCAGCGCTTAGTTTACACACGTCTTAAGAATGTTTTCACTAAGTGGGCAAACCAAATACATTTGTATAGTGGAGGGAACTGTTCAGTTGTGCTTGAAAGAGGCAGTCTTCCACCAAGACCACTAGCAAGAACGGGGTGAGTCACCTGTTTTGTCTCTCTACCCAAACTCTTATAAACTTCTAGTCTCACGAGCTCAAACTTGCTTAAAACCCTTTTCCATGGAAATAGATTGGTCAAGCTGCAGTATTATTGTTGCCATCTGTTAAAATGAGATCAGAACAAAGCAGGTTAATCCTTTGGCAGTGAGGCTGAGATTTCCCATTCCTAAGCTGCTTATTGTTTTATATTAATACTTTCCCCACTCCCATGTTGCTTTGTGGAAGAAAATAAAAGGACCTGATCCCAGGCCGATTGAAGTAATTGGCTAGACTTGTTCCTGCTGCACTGAAATGAAAAGAAGTCTGGAAAGAACCAATTAGAGGCCAAATAACAAATTACATTGTCTAATTGTAAAAGCAAATATTTGGGATGTTTATAAGTACCACATGTGCATTGGTACTGGGATGCAACTACATCTGTGTAATGATCGTAAGAATTTGGAGAGAGAGAGAGAAAGTGTGTGTGATTTAGTTAAAGAAATTAACATGTTTTAAAGCCTTGTTTACCTGGTGGCCAAAGATTTTGGCAGCTTGAATTCTGGAACTCTCCAGCCAATGGAGAAGGAACAGACTTCTCAAAGAAATTTTTAAAGAGTACTCTAACATTCCTTATCTTTCTCTTTAAATTTCAGCAGTCACAGTAGGTCATGTCTGAGTAGTGACAGAGTTAGGAGATGGATAAGCAGTTCTTGCAAGTCACGGGATTTAAGCTTTACTTTCAAGTGCAAAATTTGTGTCCTGTCATGTGTGATGTACCTCTTCTGAAAATGATAGTTGCTCTTAAGATTATCTGTCCTTTTTATGAGCAAACCTTAAGGCTCTGTTCTTCTGAGAGCACTCAGGTCTGCTTACAGTCTAACCTTAGTACCAACGATCTGACTTTCCTGGCAAAATGTACTGAGATAAAATGGCTAAGAAGTTTGCCAAGCTGAGAGATTTTTTTAATGGGGGGGAAAAAGTGTTCATCCTTTTCTTTTTCAGCTGATCCTCCTCCGTATATTGATGGTATTCGGATCAACAGTCCTCACTACCTGACCAAGATAAAGCTGACCTCTCCAGGGCCCCATACATTTACCTTAGTGGTATCCCAGTACGAGAAACAAAACACTATTCATTACACCATCAGGGTATGTACTGTTGGTTTCATAATGAACGTAAATAATGAAACTATAAAGTGTCTTTTATTTGTAAGTTTGATAAGTGTACTTCTGGACTGATACTGTTATTTTGGAGAGGGAGGCTATGAATGATGGAGCAGTACCACTGGATGAAGTCTTTGATAATGTTCTCCATTTGTAGTTAAGGCAGTACAGTGTGTGTGTTTTTAATAACGAAAGCAGCTAAAAAATACTTTTTTTTCCTAGAATAAAAAAATAATATGTACAGGCAGAGCATTGGCTCTCTTGTGTTTTCAAAATAATCCTGTTTTAGATCCCAGTTAAGATTAAAGGTTTTTTGACTTCTCCAAGTCCTTGGACTCAGTATTTGGGTTTCTTTGTAACTGCTGAGTCATGTGACAATGCTAGATGTCTGTCTCTGGCGCTGAAAAAAGTAAAATACAGGTTGTTTCCATTTTGCTTTTTTTTAAGAACAATGAAGTAGAACTAAGTCTTACTAATCCCAGCACTATTTGGTATTTTGACTCTCAGACAGGGTCACCTGATGGGTAATACAGGCATGTAGTGAACAAGTATCTAAAAATGATGTGTAGGCAATTCAGCTTTTTTTTAACATATCACGATTTAACATGAAAAGTGCAAGATGAATCTGTGACCAGCTTCTTCTTTTACAACATAGGTGTATTCCTTGTGCAAGTTCACCTTTTCCAAGATTCCTACACCTTACACCATTTCTAAACGGGTAAAGTAATACTTTCCTTCATGGGTGACTGGATAATAGTTCTGGTTTGGCTTTTCTGTATTTGAGATGTACAAGGTTTTTAAATATGTTTTTATACTACTGCCCAAAAATGCCAGCTTAGGCTCTATTCTGACAAACCGAACCTTTTAACTAGAGCTTATTCTAAGCATCACAAGCACAAGACCAATCCTGTACTCGAGTTACGTGTAATTTGCCAAGCAGTTATCTGCAGTGTTAACAGAATTCATAGCAACGTAGAAGTCCTTGGGCTGGCTCCCTCTGTTCACAGCGCTCTGTGTGGATGGTGGCTTGACTTCCAACGGCACGGGGTGTGTGAACTCCACCTTCATTTCAGAGGGTGTCGTTACAGCTGTACCCTTGCAGATATGCTGGAAAGCCTTTGTAGCATAACCACCTGTACCCATATATGTAATTACTCTGCAGAGATCAGATTGTGCTAGTACTACTGCAGAGTGAAAACCCTGCAAAAGTGTTCCTCGTTTTCCCTTGAGATAATTGCGTGATTTTCTTGGAAAAAAACCTCTTGGCATGACAGGAGCAAAATCAGCAATAACAAACCAAAGGCGCCAGTAGCAAGACTGTGACAAACAGACTTAGGAGGCAATATCACAGTACATTACTGTTCCTAAATTTTGTGAAGACATCTCACAGGCCTGTAACTGCTGGGATAAGCACTCACATTGCCGAACAGGATCAAGGCAACATAGCCATGGTAGCTGTCATGGAGAAATGCTCCCTGAGAGTACAGCAGCAAGGGCAAGAGCAAAAAACTTGACTGAAATTAAGTCAGAAGCCCAGGCAGTTTTGTGGCCAGCTGCTGTTCATATTTCAGCTGTTAACATGAGCTGCAGTTACACCTTCAGCTGAAATATAAATATAGCCAGGAGCTCAGAGGATAAAGCAACTGGCATGTATTTTCATGTGTTAGCAAATCTAACCTCAAGAAAGAATAAGCCAGCAGCTGTTAACTTTAAGCTCTGTACCTACCGTGCATAGCCTAGGGAATCCTACTGTAGGCAGAAGTCTTCTATCCACACAGTAACTTCTTGGGAAGAGAGAGAGGAGGCCAGGTGGAGCCGCAGTAGACCAGCCCGCTTGGCAGGACGCTCGTGCCTGAAGCCAAGGAGCAAGGTACTTTGTGTGGTCAGGGGGACGTGTCATCTCGCAGCTGAGCTCGTGAGTTCAGACTGTGTTTGGTACCAGCTGTTATTTCTGGAACAGCAATACCCCTGAGGGTGGCCTGTTCTGGGGAACTGTAAGTGGCTAGAGAGGTTCCTGGGAACAGTGAGATGATCTGCTTGGTTCCTCCAGAAACTGTTGTCCTTTTTAGCTCTTAAAAACTTGAGGGAATGCTTTAAGAAGTCAAAAACTCATTGAAGGTGACCAGCCTGTTGGAGGCAGGACATCTGTTTTATGTTGTATTATGTTTCAAAAGAAAATAATGTGGAAACCTGTTAATTAGTGGAAGATGTCTAAAAGGCACGTTCTATCTATCCAAGGCCAGCTCTGTCTTTATGATTAAAACCAAAAAGTTAGTTGCCTGTGCTTAATGCTTATTTGGTGCTTGCTTAGCAATCATCACGCTTAAAAACAAGCAGATAACTAATTCACAGCTTAGCAGTAAAAGCAAGTTCTGTTAGATGTCTCATACTAAAGTTGAGTGGTCACCTCTGGGGCTCGCCAAGCCCTAAGGGGATTCCTGGGAACTAAGCACAGCAGAGGTGGAAAAGGCCTGGAAAGCTAATAGCACACAGCAGTTTTAGGTTCTTGGGAAGTAGCACAGTGGGGAGAAAATTCCCCTCGAAAATTCCCATGTTTGAGGCTTTTGGGAACTGAGTAAAAATTAAATCATGGGGAAAAAATGTGCTGCTCGCTGATTTGAAAGCAGAGAGAGGTAACAGGAGAAATGGATCTCAGCTATAGCTTTGTGTGAATGCCTGGCAAGCCTTTCGAGTCTAACCTTTCAGTTTAATGACTAGCAGGAGGAACTTGCAAACAGGTGGCCTGTTTGTCAAAATCCTAAGCAGGATTTTTCCTCTTGTATGTCTTTGTCCTTGCGGAATCTGGCCTTATGGATATCTTGTCCCTGTAATGCTGGTTCTCAGCGTGCACAGAGGTGAATGGACAGGGGCTGGAGGCAGAGATTTCAAAAGCAGAGGTTACAACACAAGTAGCATTGTACTTCCTGTACCACTGTTGTTCCTCATTTAGTGCAACAGAGGAATGTCTGACCAAAAAAAAAAAATTAACCTGCATAATCCAGTAGTCGGGGATAGATGGAAAAATAGATCTTTCATTAGATGCAGTTTGTCATAGTCACAGTCACTTATTACTTATTTACTATAAGCTGAAAAAAATACAGTATACTTCCAAGGTATCTAAGGCCATGATCAAGATGGGTGGAAGACTGCAGTGACACTTTCTGAATCCTTAATGCAGTCTCACTTGCAGTGTGAAAATTAGGAGAGATTACTAAAGTCAGTGACCTCTAAAGGGAGAGGAGCCTTTAGTCTTGTTTGTATATGAATAAGCACTTCAAACCCTCAGGATATAAAGTATTTTCTGCATTTTTGACTTTTCAGGTTAATGGACAGTGGAAAGGTCACAGTGCTGGAGGATGTGGAAATTTCAGAGACACCTACAGAAATAACCCCATTTATCAATTCCAGCTGGACAAGAATGGACCGTTACTAATTGAGCTCCGGGGACCAAGGTTTGTAGAGAACAAGGGGGCATCAGCACAGTGTGAGTATGATGTGCTAAAGATAAAGCTCTGTCAGTGTCCTCCGTGGGGAGGGTGGGAAGCTCACTGCAAATCCAGAACACGGGGTACGGGAGGTGGCTCAGACTTATTTACGTTTCTAACTTCACCATCAATAGTGAATTAAACCTGTACATTTGCTACTGAGGAAATCCTTGACCTAGAAGGAAAGCAGCAGTTGCCTATCTATCTATCTCCTTTGTTTTGGGGTCTGAGCAGAGCTAGGCCTTGCAGAGGAGGGAAGATGCAAAGGACTTTATTCCCCTTAAAACGAATTACGGTCGTAATTCCTTCTCTTCTGTAGTAGAGCTAAGATAGAGGATACTAAACCCTTAGAGGCTCTCATGCAATGGCCAGTGCAGCACCTTGGGCTCTGAAGGTGCAGCTACTCTGCCACTAGCAGGCCAGGAGAAGTATCGGATGGCAGTAGACCTACACAGGTCAAATTCTTTTGGCAAAATTAATGATGTACCTCAAAATACCAATATACAGCTCTTGTAACATCTCCTGACATGCAGCCAAGTGTTCAGCTTTGCACAGCTGTACGGCGGACCCCACACAATGGCAGCACTTTCCCAGCCATCCTCCACTCCTTCAGGAAACCCCTTCTCTCATGAAACGAAGATGAGGGCAAAGGCAGGGCTGTACTGTTCCACTCACCGAGCAGTTTTCCATGTGCATTTTTTTTCTGCACTTGCAGATCATATTTAGGTAGTTTAAATGTCAGGGGCAGCGGTGCCTGTCACATGCCTTAACAGGTAGTAGGCAATCTGTCTCAAGTTATAGTGCAACGTGAGAAATTCTGCTGAGATCACTGACACGGGTTCCTCAGACAGGCATCAGATCCCACCCCAGGACCTGTGCCATGGGGCCCAGAGGTGTCTCACCCCAATTTTAACTACCTGAAGTCTGCTTAAATGCAGAGGCAGACTTCGAGCAGGCACTTTCCAGAGAGTCTAGTTCCAAACCTGAAATGTGTTCCATCTTCCTCCAAATTCTACATTCATAGCATGGTAAGTTAGCCTACGTTAGTCACAAATGTGACAAAACTTTTAGCTATTTTCCAGGTATACTGTGGAGTTTTTAAAAAGTAGCCCTCTTCATGGGGAACCTGATGACCCAAATAACTAACAGACCGTCACATCACTTGCAGACAATACAGCGTTGGGTTTGAACTCATCACTGTCTCGACAGTAGGAGATCCTGGTTCCTGTGGCTTTCAGAAAAAGACCAGTGGTGACTACAGGTAATATTCACTCTGTGACATCTTGGAGGTTTGAAACGTACTTCAGATCTCAGTTCTAACGGTGTCTTTTATCATAGGTGTGGATTTTGCTACTTGGAAGTGGAGAACATATTTGCTGGAGTTTACAACATTATCCCCACCACATTCTTGCCTCAACAAGAGGGTCCTTTTTTCTTAGACTTTAACAGTACTACTCCTCTTAAGGTATCACAGCTGCAGTGAGGAGAGAGATCTGTGCATTACTGTTTAAGGAGGTGGGTTTGATCTGTCCTACAGCCCGAGAACAGGTGAATAGCTCTTACTACACACACGCATAAAAGAAAATTACATTCTAAGTTATAGCCAAAAGCATGGCATCACCAACTGGCCAGTTATTTGTGGCAGACAGTGAGCTGTGGGGTTTGCTGCTATGGTATTGGAGTGAGCACTGCTCAACTGGGCTTGTGAACAGGCCAAAATGCTTTTATTCAAATGAACTGGCAGAACTCTATTGCAGTTTCTCCACGCTTCAAATCAAGGTCTAGTGAGTTAAGAGAAAAACTAACACTGCAATTCTCTTCTCCCACAATACAGGGCATAGGGGTTAAAGATGTTATTCTTAAAAGTAAACATGTAAGAAAAAAATATTCTTGTGTATTCTGCTTATTCAGTCTCAGGACCAAATAGCTTTTGCTACCTACTTGTGCTGCTATCTTGAATGTTTTCAGCATTGAACTAGTTCTCACATCTAAATGTAAATTTACTACTGCTGAGCATGCAGAATTCCAAATTAACATGTTCAGCTTACTTAGAACATGTATATAGGAGTAAAGGAAAAGGAAAATCACAGCTTTAGCTATTTTGGAAAAAAAAAAAAACAAAAAACAAAAAAAAAAAAAAACAAAAAAAAAAAAAAACAGAAAACAAAAAACCACAAAAACCAAACCCCAGTTGTTTTCACTTATGTTACATGTATTTTGAGAGGTATTATTTGATACCTGTATTACTTTAGTACATAATATTACAGCACGCGGTTCTCTGTGGCTTCCTACTAGCTGCAGATCAGCAGCACCAAGAGGAGGTGAGCCAGCAGTAGCGTACAGACAGTGCAGCACACCCTTCCTTTAGGTTTTCATCTAAAGCTGCACTGTAAGATTCTTTGTGTCTACTGAGGTGGTCTCATGTGCTGGTGCGAGGAGGTAGGGAACCACCACCATCACCATCCCAGCAAAGAAATGTTTGCTTCTCATCATTTTTGTAAGTATTCAGCCTCTAGGAGAAGGGTCATTCCAAGCTCTCCCCCCCCAATAAACCACAGCTGCAAGAAATGCATTTGCTGATCCCATTATACAAGACATCTTTGAAAAGGTACCTTTTTTTCTTGTAAGTTGAAACCAGTAAATTAATTGAGCACTTGGCCAGTGTCGTTAAGAGTCCGAGTTCTTAAGAAAATAGTGGAAGTGGGATTAGTGCAGAACAAGATTTTTTTTAGAAGCCTACTGTCTGTGCTCTTCCTCTAGAAGATCTATATGCACTGTATCTGAAGAGGATTAAAGATAATCGAGTTTAATTTAAATACCAACTGCCTCACTGATCCTAAAATGCATTCTTTTTTGTCTTTTTAAAAATGGCAGACTTAAAATTCCACTCTGTTTGATAGCTGGGGAGAGGATACTTTTAAAACAGCCCTAGGAAGTTCCTTGCCATTCAGGTTGGTTTGGCAGTTTTCCAAGTGAAAAGGTAGCCTGTAAATCTTACTTTAGAGCACGGGTGCCATTTGGTCATTGGGAAACAGAGCACACGTGCTACAGGAGCACCAGGAATAGTAGCTGTGGGCTAAAATTCTTCCCCCAGAAGTCTGCTCTTGGCCCTCTCCTGAAAATATAAGATCTGTTTGTTTCATTTCCTTCCCTTCATCAAGCAGCTGCTTAACAAACATCTAGCTTTAAAAGGGCACTGAAAACACATGCCTTTCTGACTGCAGTTCTCTCCAACACCATCTGGGCTAGGAAACTGGGGACAAGTTTGTCAGTGGGACTTTACCTTCTTTTGCTGGGAAATTTCTGATGGTTATTGCAGCAAATCAGCAGAGGGCACAGCATGGGCACAAGCTGAGCAAAAACCAAATTAGGTTCTTTGTGGTTATCCTTGACTTTTGGGAATATATGCCCAGGACTGCTTCATCCCTACAAAACTAATTTCATTCAACTCACATTTTCCCTACAAATTTGTGTTACCTTTTTAGCTCAGGCTAAACTAGAGCAGCAGCAGAGTCTTGCACATATTTTATCCCCTATGAAGTTAGTAAGTCTCAACTGAGTATATTTTTGACAGTACAAAAGGCAGATGCCAGAACTGCCAGCTTTCCATATGAAGTTCTTGCACATCCTTGGCTGTTTGAGATCAAGCTGGTAGACTTGCCTACAGTAAAATCTGTTGTTCTTCTGTAGTTGATTTCTGTTCTGCAGGAAAGGTTTTCTCTCTCTATTTTTTTTTTTTTTTTTTTTTTTTTTGCTTCCCCCAAGCACAAGCTAGTGCCAAAAGTTTATGTGGGATAAAATGAGCAGAAGGTTCAACTTCCATACTGAACTAAAAGCAAGTAATATACTCAATGCTAGAGAATCCTGTCCCTGCCAGGATCCACTAACACTTCTTGCAGACACAGAGTACAGTCAGTGGATGGGGCTCATCCCCATAACTGCACAGGATTTCAGCTCAGTATCAGTTTAAGTTCTATTCAAACACTGCACCTACACAGGCTGCTGGAATCCCATCCCTCTATACCTCCCTTCAGGTGTAAGGCAGAACACTCAGGTGGAGTATTGAAAAGAAAATACAAAACATTCTTAAAAAAGAATCTGCAGATGCTGGTTGTGGCAAAGTAATTTTACAACATTTTCCTGCCCTTTTTTCTTAGAAAAAAAATGATCATGTTTCTATCAAATACATACGTTATATTTTTTCAACAAATAAATCTGGAAAAATTATTGGAGAGTGAAATGATCCTTAGATTATAACACAACCTCAGACCTGTATCTAGGTTAAGCTTTCTTTCCCCCCCTTACAGCATCGGGCATTTTTGGTCCCTGTGACAGAGGACGCTCGATGCTGATGTAAGCACAGAAGGGTTATGCAGCGAGACTTTCAGAAAGCCTGTGTGCGCAGAAATCGAGGTGGCTGTGCAACAGCTCGGGCTGTAACACAGGCACATCACTCACGTTACTTTACCTCCAGAGAGACAGCTATGCACCCCTAGGCCCTTAAGCCTTCCCTGCCTGTAAACGTTAAAACACCAAGCCTCAAAACACACCGCCGAGCTCCCGTCACTCCTGAGTTGTTGGTCACCCACTGCACAGTTCTGGACTAGTGCCTGAGCTCCAGACCGGGGGGATAACTGACACAATGGAAGCCAGCTGCCACAAGGGGCTTTAAGAGGATTTACACTTTCTTTGATTAACTAAGGGCAGACTACTACAAAAATTATTTTTAGTACTCTGTCGGTGGTGCAGAGGGATGTCTGGAGGAGCCTCTTCAGAAGTTTTGACAGTCTCCTTACGCACTGCAAAGCCTTTTCTCTGTTGGTTTTTTTTTTTTTTTTTAATCTTACTTAAAAAGTAAATGTAAAGCTCCATACAAGAGCCCCCAGTGCTGCAGCCTATAGCTCAGGGTGAGACGTGCCCCCAGACACGCCCCCCCCTCAGTTTGGGTGGGCAGGATGACCCGGGTCAGCCCTCGGTGAATCCCGTCCCTCAGCTCTCAGAGACAGCGAGAGGTGGTACCAGGGCTGGACGGAACCAACAGCTCCTACCCCTGTCCCCTCTGTCCCACGGGCCCGGAGTCAGCCCTAGCCTCCTGCAACTCTTCTGTACAGTAAACATGCGCTTGACCACACCATCTATGCAGTGTCTGACCCAGCCAGCTATTTAAAATTAAGTTTGTGTACATATAGCAGAGGTGTTCGGCGCTTAGTCAAGAGACATTTAAATTGTTTGATAATACCAAAGAGAAGCGGAATTCCTAGCTTAACATTCGCTTTACACATTCTCACTTCAGGGCAGCTGAAGTGATCACATATACTTTGATACACCAGAGGCTTATTTTTATACCCATGAAGGCAGCTACCATCATGTTACGCTTCAGAATACAGAAAAGTAACCGGAGAAAGCTTTTTCACTTGCCTGTACTCTATAGCAATGTATGTTCATCTAAGTTTGTCATATTTATAATTATGGCTTTAATGAAGTTTAAAATAAAACGAGTTTTCCATTAATTTATTAGACGCACACTTGTGCCTGTTTGCTTGCACATTTGAAGGCTGAGTTACCTGCCAAGTCCGGTGGTCGCCGAAGGAAGAAGGCTGCAGCAAGGTCTGTAAACAAATCTTGCAGAAGCAAGGTGTAAAAGTAAGGGTGTGGTGGGTTCCACACCCTCTGGTACTTCCCCATCAATGGTTTTTGCCCTGCTGGGAGCTGAACCCAGGCAGGACATGTGCAAGGCAGCCCATGCAACTCTTCGTATCCTGCTGAACATACAATTAATTCACTGCCAAAGTGCAGGGAGTTTGGGTTTCCAGTTAGAACTGGCAAGATGAGAGGAAATTTGATAGTAAGAGAGCTAAAAAAATTAAGACACACACACACACAAAAAAACACACAACAAAGAAACCACCACCAAAAAACCATACCCAAACCACCCAGAAAAGTAATAGGGGCTGGCTAGCAAGTCTGCAAAAATAAGATATTCAACCACAAATACCTCTGCTGATTTTTCTAACTCTATACTGCACAGACAGTAGCTTAACTACGAAAGTTTAAGTAAAAACAACTAGTCCAGTGTGGCACTTCTGCACTGCTTTTCATTTCGTGTTTAACAGCGTCAGCCCCAGCTTCTCCCCAAGCGATGCTCACACCAGGAGCTGGAACCACTCGCTTCTTTCCCAAGCATTCTCTGGGCTGGGAAACGCCATGGCAGAGTTCTGCCTTCAGCTCTCTGGAAGATGGAAATATCTGAAGCTATTACAGCTTAACAGCTATAACGTGCTGAATCTAATTTTTATGAAAACAGGTTTCTTTACCTCCAGTTCTGCACGGCCTTAGAGCACATTCCAGCAGCACGAAGTACAGAGGTGTCACGTAACAGAATACCTTCCTCCCTTCTGCATACTAAGGCATTTTGGAAAGCTTGGCTAAAGCTCTGGTCTCGTGTAGTTCAGAGTAACAGGTGAACCGCGGGTGCAGGGCTTCAAGGAGCTGGAAGCAACAGTTGTCCACGTAGTGCAAAGGCATCTCACGCCAAAGAGAGTGACAGCGGGCCACCGGCTTCCACTGGGAGCGTGTGAAGACTAAACTTGCTGCAGGAGAAGATTCAGTTCTTTGTGCTTGAGATACACTTCGCTTGCACAGACTCGAAATGTGGAAAACAAAAACGTTTACTGTAGTGTGAAGAATTTTACATTGAGAATAGATACACAAGCTGTGGCAGGGACAAAATACAACAGGACTGCAAAAACATAGAATAGAAAATACCTCGGGGGCAATACTAAATTCCCATCAAATTAACAATATAAACTGACATTTTTAGATAAAATGGTGCTTTCAGAAATGCTTAGCCACCAAAACTGAAGAGTCCTAGGATTTTTACTACCACTTATTAGCATAATTACCAGACACTACTACTGCCTAACAGCTGCTGGCAAAACATGCCTGTGCCCTTTCTAATTTTATTGAACATTTTCTCTAGGGCATACTAAAATCCCAAGTCCCTTTAACAGTTATAAAACCCCACACAGTACAACCTACAGAAAAACTTAAGAACACATTGTCAATCTACACTGGC